GGCCACAGAGACTAGCAAAACGTTAGGAAGAACAACCTTCAGAACACGTCCAAAGAGCCCGAAAAACCCACAACAACCATTAGATCCCGGCCATGAAAGCCTTTGCGAATACAAAGAGCATCTTTCTTTGGTGTCAGTTCTAGAAGGTGTTGTAAGTCTTCATAGAATTGGTCGATTTCAGCCTCTTCAGCATGGGGGGTTGGTGCATAAACTTGGATTACTGTGATGTTGAAAGGTCTGCCTTGGATTCGTATTGAAATCATTCTATCATATTTGAGATTGTATCCCAGTACAACTTTTCCCACTCTTTCGTTAACTATGAGGGCTTGACGCACCTAGGCAATAGGATCAAGAATGGTTTCGTGATCTTAGTGTAACTCACAAACGTCACTATGTTTGTGAGTTACTAAGATCACGAACCGATTCTTAGTGTAACTAAGAAAATCACTACATTTGTGAGTTACTAAAATCACGAACCCATTCTTGAAAAAGGCTGCAACCATGCAGCTATTTTATTATGGGAAAGAGAGGAAGAACTTTGTAGCTGCAAAACTCAGCATAACTTTAAAATGCCGGAGATCATGGATGAAAAGGGATAAAAATAAAATGCATCTTCATCCTTCAGGAAGATATGATATCGACCTTCACAAAAGAAGGAAAAATTGATGAGGGGGGTGGAAAAAATATACTGCTGCTTCTTGCGCTATCTCCCTGCGGGACCCTCTGTACGTAAAGGATTGTTCTCTCCGAGACACCGTAGCGTTGCCATTTTTTTTCACGTGTCAGCGGGCGGGGCTTTATCATGGCGTCGTCCATGTGAACTGAGGAGCTACGTTAAGTTTTGCAGGTGGGTCGCGAAGAGCGGCTGGGAGGTGGACTTGCCCCCCCCGTCTTTTCCCCTCCTTTCTTTGACGGCAGAAGAAGGGCAGTCGAGGGCAAGGTTGGCAGAAGGAGTCTTAAAATCCAACCCTTAGGGAAAGACTGCAGTAATTTGCAGGAAAACCGGGCGTTACCGGAGGAGTTCCAGGGGATGTTTTTGAGGCTGGCGTCAGGCAAATCTAAATCTAACTGCTCGAATTAAGTCTCACACACTTCAATAAGGCTTACTCTCAGACAAATAAGGATAGGACTACAACTTTACTAAATGCTTTAAAATACCAAACCTATAGCTCAATCAAACGATACTTTTTACAAGTGTCCATATACTGTACAGGATTCCATTTCAAAAAAGGTTGAACTGGGACTTGGAAATAAACGGACAGGAGGGAAATCTTCTGGGTCTCCAAAGACCTATTTAAACACAGGTTCTTTCTCAGGCTGAAAAGTTCTTTAAGATTTCCTGCATTCCTAAATACATTTATGATATATATCTGGGGAGATCATACTGCATAAGACAACAGCCTGCTGGCAGTTTTGCCCTAGAAAGCATCCTGGCGTGAAATGTTGCTGAAGAGGATACTGGAACTGCGTCAAGTTCCTGCTTTAAAGATTATGTGATTTGCACAGGTGACCTTATCAATCTTCTATAGTACAAATGATTCTATATGTGCCTCGAGTGTTTAACTATAATCAGCTTCTCCTATGATCTTGCTAAACTTTCTGCAATACCTTCACTGGTTAATAATCTGTTTCCATGCACATTTCCCCTTCCATGATTTTCTTATATTATTAATTCTTAAATATTGCAGTAATATATCTAATAATTATATTTAGTATCTATCACTGTCATGATGAGGGGGTGTGGAAAAATATGCTTTTTCTTCCGTTTGTGCATGGCAGGAGAGGAAGCTGAACACGTTCCATATGCCCTGTCTGACACATTTTTGGTATCACCTAGCAGGATAAAGTTCCAAATAAAGTAGTCCTAGAATGAGATGGAATTTTTAGCATGTATACATTACTGAAACAGTGATGTCTATGTTGGCTTGGGCATGTTGTGAGAATGGCTGATGGTCAGATTCCAAAAGATCTCCTGTATCAGTGCAGGGAAATCGCCCCAGAGGGAGACCACATCTGCTGTACAAGCATATCTGCAAGCAGGATCGGAAGGCCTTAGGAATGGACCTCAACAGATGTCAATGGGAAACTTTTGACATCTGAGTGTTCAGCCTGGAGGTAGGCGGTGCATCATGGCCTCTCCCATTTTGAAAAGACCCTTGTCCAGCAGGCCAAGGCAAAGAGGAAGTCCTGAAACCAGCCAAATCAGGGAGTTGGGCAGGGGACAGATTGTATTTGTCTTCAGTGTGGAAGGAATTATCACTCTCAAATTGGCCTCCTCAGCCACGCTAGACACTGTTCCAGGTCCTCTATTCAGAGCACGTTACCATAGTCTCTCAAGACTGAAGGATGCCTAATCTATCACTGTTAGAAACAATTATTTACTTCCTTCTACATGTGCAGTTAATTTTCTTTTTGATGCTTTTGGAAATGTTGGTCTTGTTTAAATATTTTAAAACAGTATTCTAAATATTTTAAACCTTATTTTTAAAAATATTTTAATATGGTATATTGTGCACCATATTATTTAAGTTCAAGATATTTGTAACAGCTGAAGTAGATACAGTTGCTAACTAGATATTTAAAGCTTTTTCTTACATGTTTTGTTTCATGTGTTTAATAAAAAGAAGAATAAATAAGGACACTGCATTTTAGAGGAGAAAAACCTTCTGTAATATATTAATGGCATTACGGAAAGTTGTCTGTCCGGATCACTGCTAGCATAATTAGACAAGATCTTCCCTGGCTTCCTAATAAGGAGAGTTTAACTTTGTTTTCATAGTGAATTAAATGTGTGTGCCATCAAGTGAATTCTGAGTCATGGTGACATTGTCAAGGTTTCTTAGGTAGAGAATACTCAGAAGTGGTTTGCCATCCTCTTATTCTACAGGTATCCTGGGACTGCGCAGCTTGCCAAGGCTACACAGGCTGGCTGTTCTGGGATACACAGTGGAACACTGAAGCCCCAAACTAACTCTCTGATCTATCTTGCCAGCTCCCAAAGTGAGTTTAAAAGCATCAACAGACATTGTTTAGGTTAATGTTGAAGCATTTATTATTAAATACCATCCTCAGCAGATGTGTCTTTGCATCTATTTGACGCTTTCCCCCAGTCCCCACAAAGACAAATTCAATGCATTTTCTCTTTCTGAAGACCAATCACTAAGAATTAGGATATAAAAATATGTGAAATTGCCTTCCTCTTGGAATTTTAAAAAGGTTAATTGGGCATTATTCCAACAAAAGAGTCCAGACGGTTTTTACTACTTTCGCAAGAAAGAAGCAGGGGACAGCAATCACTCCTCAAGGTGCTTTTCTGAAAAACCATCCACAACAGGTGGAGATACAGCTCAAGCCAATTTCTAAGCAAAATGACTGGAACAGGAATCAAAATGGGTAGGTGTGCTGCCAATTAGATAACTCAGTCAAAGTCATCACAGAAACCTGTCACATTATTGAAAAGAGAACAGCTGCGGAGGGACTGACTTTTCCATTATTGAGACTAGATAGGCGGGATATAAATAAATAAATAAATAAATAGATAGATAGATAGGATAGATAGATAGATAGATAGATAGATAGATAGATAGATAGACAGACATAGTTAAAAAACACTACCATCATTTTATTTCAGCCTTAGTAACTGACAAGATGTGTGCAATTGCTGTTAGTAATTTTCTCTTATTTTCTGCAGGGAAATTAGTGAACCTTGAAACTGTTGAGATTTTTGATTATAGCGTGTATTCTCATAACATCAGCAGAGTATGGAGATATTGGTTAGCAGAGATACTTATGACACTGCGAGAGTAAAACCAATAACTTAGTTTATTTACATACAGTATATACATAGACAATAGACATTCCTCTGGCAGCATAACATGACATGAAACAACACACAGCATAGGAAAAAGTGATCTGACTTACAGCGGATAAAGACGTTAATTTTACACATGACTTGTGTACATTTCTGTGACCAATCAGAAAATACATTACTTCATTTTCTGTTACACAAAGTTTCATCATGTACACAGATGTGCGACATTAAGTCTTAATCCTTGATACCCACACCTGAATACAATCAGTACAGTGACTCAGTCAAAATCAGCCATTTTACATTTAACTATACAACATTAATACATTTTCATATCAAAATCTCAACAGAAACGTGCTTTGTAAATTAACCTACTTTCTTATTGTTGAGAAACCATTTTTATTTGAAATTGGCAAGCCACCACAGTAGGTATACAAGCCAGAGATGTGCAGCTATGACTTTCTGTATATTCCTTTAATTTTATTTATGTCAATTAATTTGAAAACTTTTTTCTGAGAGAGAGAATAAAATATGGAATAATAAATAAGAGTATTTGGGTATTCTTAAAAATTGTGTTGACATACTCCCACACAGGTGGACATAACAAGGGGGCCGGACCGTCCACTCACCTGTCTGCTGCTGCTGTAGCTCCGCACTCCTTGCTATGCTGACTAGTAACTAGTCGACCGCAAGCTCCGGAGCAATTGAAAGGGAGCACGGAGCTGTGGCAGCAGCAGATGGGTGAGTGGACGGTCCGGCCCCAAGGGGTCAGACCCTTGTTATGTCCACCTGTGCGGGGGTATTTGTATTCAAATACGAATACCCCCATTTCTAGTTGACACTTATATCAATAAGGCTCCAGTGTATAGTTTGTATCATCAGAATATATGCTATTATTAAGCAGACAAGAAAAAATGTCTTTGTTCAATCATTGTTCCCCCCTCCCTTGTTTTAACTGGTTATTAATTCATATTTTCTAGAAGATGCCTGCTGTCTGCAATTCTTTTCTTGATGACATTGAAGATATTGTGTCAGCACAAGATTTGAAACCATATGACCAACAGTTTAGGAGAAAAAATGTTGTTCCTAAAGTACGAAAACGCCTTTTACAAAAGAATGTAGAAGCAGATGATGATCCCCCCAGTGACAGGTATGGTTCTTCCTTTGAAAGTTGTTGCTGAATTGAAATAGAGATAAGGAACAAGCAGTGCTTACAACCCTTCAAATACTTTATACTTGAAACGAAGACTGGTATTTTTGCCTTGAAAATGTTTTTTCTATCTGGCTGTCAGTCTCTCTTTTATTTCATCTTGCTACCATGGCCATCAAAAGACCCCCCCTCGTGTTACTCTGTTACTTCACCCTCTTCAGTCAGGGTGTTGGTATTCAGCTTTTGATCTGTCAGTAACCATGAGCCATGGCAATCGAAGGACTTGGTCCTCCGTATAAGACAGCCTGGGCATCCAGATCATTATAGGAGGTCATGCATCGTGTTGTGTCCTGGACCTCAAGGTAGTAGATACAGGCAATACACTTTCAGTCATTTCAGTGATTGTATCTTGTCTCTGGAGCTCTTTCCCTTAAGGAGTCTATTGTCCATCACCTTGACTTTTTAGCAAATAGCAAAGACTACGAGAAATTGTGATACAGCAAAGTAATTGGCTATTATGTGTGATGTTTGATAGCTGTTGTGTGTGACTGCTGCTGTGTATTTTTTTTAGCAGTCATGTCTTTCGTAAACAGAATTTATATTCACTTTTACAGAATTTATATTCACTTTTACTCAGAAGTGGTTTACCATCCTCATATTCTACAGGTATCCTGGGACTGCACAGCTTGCCCAAGGCTACATAGGCTGGCTCTTCTGGGATACACAGTGGAGTACTGAAGCCCCAAACTAACTCTCTAAATTCATAGATTCTGACTTTTTAATTTGTTTTCCATATTTGATGAATATCAGAAAGTTGAGGGGATATTACTTACAATAATATCTCCATTTATCTCTTTAGCCTTGTTGCCCTTCTGTAACTCTTGCCTTAGTTGGAATACAATACCTGCCTTTCTTATGACTTGCTGGGTTTTTTAAGCATTTCAGGACTTTCTTTTCTGTCCTTGTATGTTTGTTACTATTACATTGAAACTTTGGGTTCGGACCTATAAATAATATTTTATTTAGTTCAATATATGTAAAGAGTTAACCAATAGTATAGTATGGTTAGACATGGGTGCTTCGTATTAATATCCAGGGAATACGAATACAAAGCATGGCAACACAGGTGCCACGATGCTCCATTCCTTCCCCCTAAAACCAGGCTGGTCCACACACTGGGCTCCACACTTGCATGCACATCTGTCAGATTCATCATTGCACCAGTTGCAGAATTAGTCTGGCTGGAACTTTTCCGCTTGCCCCCACAACCGACCACTTCAGCAAGGTGGAGGGAAGATGAGTCTTCCCGCTCAGCTGCTGAGAGGTTGGCTGTGGGGAGAGGCAGGGAAGAGCCAGCCAGACTACTTCTGCAGTTGGAGCGACAATGAAGCGGATAGATGTGCACGCAATGTGGACTAGGCTGACTCTGGTGGGAGGGAATGGACCGCTGTGGCACCTGGATATGAATACGAAGCACCCATGTCTAATCAGAGTAGTTTCTTTGTCAAGTACTACAGTTTCTTGTGCTTATAGTTTACAATGATGAAATATTTGTAATGGAGGTGGAATAAAATTAACATTGTGTCTTTTTGTCTGACAGTGTTATTCCTGGTGTACAAAAAATTTGGGTACGCACATGGGGATGTTCTCATAATAGTTCAGATGGAGAATACATGGCTGGACAGCTGGCTGCTTATGGATACACAATTACTGGTAAGTTGCTCAACACGTGGTTTTTTTCAAGAGTGTTCTGTCCATAGCTTAGAGGAGCTGTAGCTGGCTGGGGGCTGCAACTCCCAGAATCCCCCAGCCAGCATGACCACTGACTGGGGAGTGGTAGAAGTGCAGAAAAGGAACATTTCTACGTTATCTAGTCTTACACCAAGATTTCAACATTCTCTTCCATTTTCAACGTATTTATTGTATCCCCTTTTCAAGATACAGGTTGTTCCAAGGCAGCTTACAAGTCACATTGATAAAATAGTAATAAAATGCCAATACAGAATTCACAAGGATTCTTCTTAAGACAGTTGGTGCTTGATGGCAGTCTGTATAGAAATATCTAGTCAAATTAGAGTAGTCTTTGAGACAAACTTTGCCTACTTGCCTCCCTCAGTTTTTCCCCTTGTATTACTGATACAACATTGCGATGGCCAATTGAGAGTAAGGTGCAAGCGTATGCCCATAGTAGACCACCTAGCAGTGAGTGCTGTATATGGGCAACGTTCCAGAACTTGACCTAACCATGCAGAGTGTATAGGTATCACCTTCTATGTACTAGCCAACAACCAAGCTGGAGGAGGTATAGACCTGACCAGGTGTCTTTATGGCTATTAAGAGAGCAAAATCCAAAACCCTGAGTACTCTACTTCCCCAGAGGCACAAGCAGAAACTAAATTGCACAGCAATTGTAGCCAAGGGCTGAATTCAGTACAGGGAATCCCAGTATTTAGTCACAGAATATCTATACACTCATACACAAGTTGTGGAGAAGGTTTTTTAATATGCTATTTTAAGAAATAATAGACAAGCCAAATGAAAACCCCCATGGTGCAGTGGTTAAACTGCAGTGCTGGAGTCAAGCCTCTACTTTCAGCCTGAATTCAGTCCTGACAGATTCAGGTAGCTGGTCTAAGGTTGATTCCGCCTGCCATCCTTCTGAGGTTGGTAAGATGAGTATGTAGCTCAGTTGCGGGTGGAGGCAAAGTGTTGTTTGCATAATTATGTTGTAAACTTCCTAGAGAGTGATCAAGCACTGTGGGGTAGTATATAAATTGAAACAACATGAAATTGAACAAATAATGTAATAAACCAATTCAGGGAACGTCTGTGAGACCAGAAGTGTGTGAGAGAGAGCCCCCTCTCACGGGAGTGCCGTCCCTCCTGTCAATCGCTGAGAAAGAAAGTCAGACCCCGCCAGTTTCCCCACCCAGGAAGACAAGACCACCCAGACCAAACCCAGGGAACCTAGAGAAAGAGTTAAATGAACAAATGGTTAGATAGATCAGGACTTTCTTGGCGGGTGTGGGAGAAAAAAGGCGGGAAGTAGTGGAGGCAGGGTTGGTAGATATAAAAGGAGGGGAAGGGGAGTTACCTGGGAATTGGGAATGGATATGGGTTGAAGACCCTTGGACGGGGAAGGTGGAAAAGCTGAGGGTCCCAAAGGAAGAGATGGATGCGCAGAGAAGGAGAGAACTAACCCCCAAGCCATCATACTGGGGTGAGAGAGAGACAAAGGAGTGGTGGAACAAGTTAAGGGAGGAGAAAGAGAAGGTTGAGAGGGAGCGAAGAGAGAGATTAGAATGGAGGATGTGACCGATGCATCAGAAGGGATTCGGGCAGACGGGGCAGCCCACCCAGGAGTGTGACTGGGTGGACTTTCAAGAGGAGGATACCACCCCCCTTATTGGAAGGAGAGAAAGGAGTATTATTAAACCCGGATACCCCCCACCTGAGTGGCCCGGTCCTTGGAATGTTCAAAGTGGAAACCCCTTTAAGTTTGAAGATTGGAGACCTCCTGTTGACTGGTTTGTCTGATGGGGAGAAAGCTTGGAACACGTTCATAGATACAGGACTGTTATTAAACAATCCAATAAATGTTACTCCTGTTGCAAAACCAAAGAAATCTGGCGATTTATTTGGATCAAATGTGGAGCCGCATTACGAACTTTCACAACATCTTTTGAGAATACAGACAGGCAGAATAAGAAAGGTATCAGGCATGGGAGTTTCATATTTTTTTTTACTATGACCCGCAGAAGTCTCACAAAGCAGAACAGTATTCAGGACGTGGGAGCTTTTGCCAAAAAGTTAAAGTCCTCTCAGGTATTTTTAATCACTTACAGTTGGGGAATAAAGGCTCAGCCTCAGACATGTTGTGTTTTTATGAAGTGGCTGGGAGGCAAGCTCTGTGGGAACTGCAAGGCATTAGGGTCTGGTAGTCTCCCTGCTCATTATGCTCAGTACAGAGTGCCTCTCAGGAAACTACATCCTACTTTGATTTTTTGGCCATGGGAATTCGTGCAGACTTCTGACAGCTGTACAAAAGCCCATACCTATAAGCTGTACTTACTTAAGCACTGGACCTCACAAAGCAGAACAGTAATCAGGACATGGAGCATACAAAAAGTGCGTATCTGAAAACGAGTCAGCAGAGAGTAAGGACACAGAAGATATTATGTGCTGAATTATCAGTGATGAACTCTTACAAGCAATCAGGAGTCATAAAACCTAGATCTTTCCAGAATAATAGTGTACACACAGGCTCACATGGGAACTCTAGCTGCAGTGATTTTTCCAATTAACAGCCCTCACCATCTGGCTTTGGCAAGCCATAAGAATAGATAAGAGGGTGGCCATCCCTTGGGAACTTTCAAAGAAGTGGTTGGGCCGAGTCTGTTTCAGCATGTGTAAAAAAAGTAAATATAAAAGAGTAATGGCACGTTAAAAGACTTGCAGATTTATTTTAGTGCAAACTTTTGTGGATTACAGCCCTTTTCCTCAGTTAGGCCACAAATGTATATGCCCAGAGGACATGATAGAGGGGTGGGAACCATGTGAGATGAGGGGAAAAGTTGTTTTATATCTGCAGAAAAGGCCAAATCGAACCATGCTTTACAGTAAATGGTGGCATGGATTTGAACAGTAAACCATGTTCATGTGCAACAAAACAATGTTGTATTTACAGTGTTGTTTCATTCTTTCAACCATATTGCATTCTTCTTGTATCCTTTCTGTTTTTATTTTGCGTGAGAATGTCTTAAAAATTATTGTGGAGGGTCTTATAACCAGCAGTCATGATAGTTTGTGAAGCTTAGTATGAAATACGGTCTTCTGTCTCTCTCTTTTTAACCTCTCTTTGTCCTGTTTGAGCAGAAGGCAGTGTATGGGCAGGATCGTATGGGTGAAAAGAGTGTTTTATTTAGCCTGGTCCTAAACCGTTCCAGACTTGAAGCCGGGCTTGCTGCCTGTGCATTTGCACTCACCTGTCAGCTGAATGGCAGGCGCATGTGCACAAGCAGTAAGCCCAAACTGGGCCTGCTGTTTGTGTGCTGGTCCCTGCTGCTCAACTTGGCAGGCGGGTGTAGGCACCAAAGCAGCGGGCCCCTGCTGCCCCTCAGGATGGCAGTTGTTGGCTTGTAAAGTTTGCTTCAAGATGAGGTAGAGAGGCAACGGCGACAGTGTGAGGGGAAGGGGGCAAACAAGTGGTTTCCCTCCTGGCATGAATCTATAAAAGAAATTGCAAACTGATTGGGTTTTTTTTGGGGGGGGGAGGGGTGTCATGGGCAACCACAAGCCACCAGTTTTCCAGTTCATGCCCATCTCTAGTAGTGAAATCATTTGGGATAATCATTTGGGATAAACAACTGAACCTCGATGTCACTGCAGTAAATGAACCAGCCTAAGGTCTTAAAAAGATTTGCTGACCATTGCCTCCGTCTGGCTGTCTCCAGATAGCAATGAGCCAATAACTTTAATTTTGATGACTTAAAAAATAAATAGTCATAAGTAAGAAAACCTATAGTAAAAAGCCCTACCATTTGGCAAATTATTTAGTTTAAACCAGTGTTACTGCCTTAACTTTATATTTTGAGGGTGTGGGTCTTGTTCACACTACATAACGTTTCATAATGCTATGTTCACTTACATTGTTTTCATATACAGTACTCCAGTCATTTTTCATGGCATAATTCTGAAACTGGAAACTGACTTTTTACTTTGTTTACTATCCTGTAGGTGGCAGCATTGGATAATTTGTTTTCTGTTCCATGGTTTTGAATGTTACCACATGTTGAAAATAGCTTGTCTCACTATAGTAATCTTAAGATCTTGATTTTATTTCTAGAAGCTAGACATAAATAGATATTAATGTTAACAGATATAAACTGATTCCCCCCTGCCCTTGATATCCTTGGTTTTTGTTACTTGCCATACTTCTGATCTGTAATGTGAGTAGTAATACAATTGATCTACACAAACACTGAGTGCTTGTTTGGTAATTGATTTGAAGAGAAATTAAATTTGGTTATCATAGGTAATGTTACTCCCTTAAAATATTTATCTACATTTATTAATATAAAACTAGAGAAAGTCCTGTAGTTTTCAGTGGTGGCATTTAGGAGTGTGTGACAGAATTAACTTCATGTGCCATCAAGTTAATTCTGACTTATGGCAACCCCTTTCAGGGTTTTCCAAGTAGAGAATATTCAGAAGTGGCTTAACGTTCCCTTCGTCTGGGAGCGCCCTGGAACTGTGCAGCTTGCCCGTGGCTACACAGGCTGGTTCTGTTTGCAGGAGGCACCGTGGGGCATCAAATTCACAAGCTCGGACTCCACAGCCAGTTACCTAAAACACTGAGCTATCCACACACAGATGCCATATGTGTGCATATTTCATATAGCAGTCACAAGCACAATTCTGATTTTAAAGTGGTATTTTCAAAGGTAATTTGCACCCTATACTACACTTCAGTCAGAATAAGTTTAAAATCTTACCTTTTTAAATGTTTTCTTTACTTCTCAACAGTAGAACAGTCTGTCCTGGGAGGTGATGCATTTTCCGTCATTGGAGATTTTTAAGTGGGGGGTTAGATGGCCAAATGTCAGGGTTGCTTTATGTTGAATTTCCTGCTTCTGCATGGAGTTGAGGTCCATTCCAGCTCTACAGTTCTCTGATTCTGTTCTGTGCTGCTGTTTTAAAATTGTTTAGGCAAG